CAGCGATCGAATCGATTTGAGATGGGCGCAGGAGCGAATTAACGAATTTTCGAATTGTAAATCGGATTTTTAAGGAAAGTTATTGGATTCCACTTCTCTGATCTTTACTTAAGAACTGCGGAATATTTCAAACATAATAGGCTACATTAATGTATTAATGAGTCCCAACGAGTTGTAAACATTTTCGAATTTCTTTTGCTAGTAACTACTCCAGGAAGCAGTTATTCTGGATTTTCGTCCTTAGTCACAAGATCCAATAGTTCTGAGATTTTTTAAATGAAATTATTTGAATTTTATGAAACGGTCAGGGGCACGCTAATTCATTGCCCACAAAAATATTTCCTTCACCGACTTTCATCAGGATTTGATGATTCCTTTTGATCATTTTTTTCATCCTTCGAATCTTTCTTCACATCGCTTTTCTCGTCGTTCTTCTGATCGCCTTTCTCCTCCTTCTTCTCCTCCTCCTTCGACTCCTTCTTCGATTGCTTCTTCTCTTTTTCCTTCTCCTTCTCAGCATTTCCCTCTTTCTTTTCGTCTTGATTTTTCGCATCACTTTTTCCTTCGGTTGATGTTGTGGGCATATTTGCTGGACTTACGGTATTTGCCTGTAATTGGCCATCTACTTCTCTAGTCGTTCTGGTTTCGGTTAAATTTAACACCACTCAGTATGCTTTCCAGCAATACTACAGACCTGTTTTCATCCCTGTTAAAATTCATTCCCAATAATATTCAAAAAGCTCAATAAACAAAAATCCTGCTCAGTATAGATCAAAGCAATCTCATGAACATCGCACCTCTCGCTCTGTTTTTAGAAAATCACTCAAACAATCAGTTATATGACTCAAACGTTGTGCTCATGCTGAATTGCAGCTTTTGAGCACACATTTTGAAGACACAGTTTCGCCTGATGCTGATCAGTTTCGGCAGTAAATTCACGCACTAACAAACTTACACTTTGTGCCTCGACTGTATTCACAGTCGCTGGTGGTGGTTGTTTCTTTTTGGCACATTGAAACGACCATGTTATCAATGTTAACGATAACTGTAATGTCACTGATATCATTGCTATTGTGCACAATGTGCTAACACAACAATGTCTTTTGGCTCTGATCATTCATTATAATCAATTTCAAGACTTAACAAGCTCATATGTTCGGTGATATCTTGTCCTAAGTTCAAATGCTCATTGCCATGCGAATAGAGATATTGTATCACACAGATCAAACTGTTACAGATATACTGTATTCCTGGTTTCATGATGAAGCTAGCAAAAATTTTATCCTTCCCTGGATACGTTATTAGTTCCTGCGTATCTGTTTTGAACACCAGAAAGCATTGTTTTTTGCGGATAGATTAGTGCAGATGAACTTACAAGCGTTTGAATTGCACTTATAATTACAGTTATAAAATGTTCATTCAAAAACCACGCATTGATCATCTTTTTTTCTGCAAATAAATTAATCACTGCACTTTACTGAAATATTTCAAGATCCTATCCAAAGCATCAGACATCAGCCATCTTACAAAATGCTTCAGCCATTACAAAAATTCTGGCTTCTACAAAGCTTTAGAGCAAAACTAAGGTTCAGTCATTTTGCAGAAGTTTCGCTTAAAAACAAATCTATAAAGCCATATGAATCTGTCTTAGTCTAATAACATTAAGAACACTTTTGGAATTTTTAAATGGTCATTTTATTTGATTACAGTGATAGTGCATCTTCAAAGCATTCAATAACACTTTCTTAATATCCATGCAAATCTGAAAACATGAAAAGTTCAGCTCAGATACTGTCTCACTCACCTAAATCCAGCAGTGCAAGTGAAAACGCTAACGATAGAGTGGATTTTTTGTTGGATCAGTATATAAACACCGAATGATGCGCTTAACACGACGACCGCTCAATAGAGCTAAATATAAACCAAATGCTCATTCTGTTCGTGGATCAGCTCAAATTGCTGCTGTGCACTGAAACTGAACAATATGCATAAACACCAACGAATTTTTTGCATATGAACTCTTTTGGTCTCTTCACATGCAGATGCCAAGCAAATTTTCGAACACTGCCGACATCCATCTGTAATCTTAAGCAGGCAGCTAATCTTTCAGCTGGTTCCATAACGTGCACTATGTTCCATCAGTTTATTTTTCTGGCTTCTCGTCCAAGGCACGATCATTACATTACAAATGTTCATGAAAGTTGCGAATTTTGTGCGTTTCTTCCTCAGTTTCTTTTTTACTAAAATTTTCAATACGAACACATATTGGTTGAAGAACTATCGAATTGAGCAATGATCATTGTGAAAAATTTCCTTTTGAATTGTAACAGCAAGGAACTGAAAAGAAAACGACGACAAATTTGATTGAGTGCTATTGACGAACGATGAATTTCGTGTGAATGGAATAGAAATTAATCAAATA